TTTTTTTTTAAATAAAAAGTAATAAATAAAATAATCTAAAATAACATAACAACATATTTTGAAGTAGAAATAACAAATATATAAGTTTTAAAATAATATTTTGAAACATATTTTAAAATTACCCATTACAAAATCTTTTCTTTAACCATGAAATAATAAAAACAAATCAATTTTTCATTAACGGAATTTTCTATCAAATTTGTATAAATGTTATATTATTAAAATCAGATTTGCTATTAACATTAAAAATTTATGTCAGAGTTTTTTTCCTTAAAAACTAAAAAATATTTCATAACGAAACAAAAAAAATATTGAAAAATTTTGTTTTAAATCTTATTAAATCTACAAAAATTAATTTTTTTATTTTGCACAACTATTTTTCTACTTTTAAAGATTTTAATACATTAAATTTTGAAACAAATTACTTCTCATTTCTTCATAAAAATAGTTATATTGATAAACAGTATTTCTCTTGTATTTTTTTTATTATAATTAAGTTTGAAGACACACACACATGTATATATATATGGTCTATCCAGAAAGTTTACAAACTTTGTAAATAGTAGTTGTTTGCATTTACCTAGAAGTTAGGTAAATACAATTTACCTAATTTAAATAATACCTAAATAAAAATAAACTAATTTTCTTTAGAAAATGTAATTTAAGAAAGACCCTCAGATGTAAATATTGCTGCTTTCTTAGCATAGAATCCAAATATGTTAACATGTTGTTAGAGTTCCATTTAAAATTTCAGTTACCCTCACCTTACCCTCATGGGGGTCACATGGGAGTTCTTTAGCTGATTTAATAGTACCTTTACCAGTTTGTACATTGATGAAAAAATTATTTTTAATCATTGATTAAATAACAATATCTTGAGTTGTAACATTTTATTTGGGCTATGCTGTATATACATATATATATTGATCTGAATTCTTTTATCAGTTTAATATAAAAACTAATAAAGAATATATTGAATGCAATGAATTCAGATATTTAAAATTTACAGCATCTAAAACCAGAATAATAATAATAATAATTATAACAATAATAATTATCTTTAATAGATAAATGAAGAAATCTTGTTTTTTATTCTTCTTGGTGTCCATTATATATAACAAGGAGATGAATGACATATACAGAGAAATTACCAATGCAAACAACATCAAAATAGCTTATAAAAAAAAGTCAATCAATTTTCTCATTAATTAGGAATGATAAAGACCTGGTGGTAAAAAGGTTCTCGTTGGGAGTGTATGCCATATGCTGACAGACCCCCAGATTAGACTGCATCTTGATATATGTTGGGACCACTGCAAAGGCTTTTGAGATAATAATCAAACATCATCAATATAGCACCAGAAATAAGCTTTTACAACATAGCATTCACTGCTTACATGGAGGATGAAGATGTACTTGTGAACTTTGATCAAGCAAGATCATTACATCATACATTGAACCTTGATGTCTTAAATATCTAGAATGTGTTGAAATCAACAGAGCTGT